CCTACCTCCAACACCTCCATCACCTCCATCCCACCTCCATCTCCTCCATCCCACTTCCATCACCTCCATCCCACCTCCATCACCTCCATCCCACCTCCATCTCCTCCATCCCACCTCCATCACCTCCATCCCACCTCCATCACCTCCATCCCACTTTTATCACCTCCGTCCCACCTCCATCACCTCCATCCCACTTTTATCACCTCCCTCCCACCTCCATCCTACCTCCAACACCTCCATCTCCCATCTATCACCTCTGTCACACCTCCATCACTTCTCCATCTCACTGCCATGGCGGCTGCTACACGCCCACTGGCACGTCTCCACCGCTCCTGTCACTGCTGGCAAATGTTCTCCCAAACCTCCATCTATCACCTTCTGTCACTTCCATCCCATCTCCATCCCACCTCCACCACCTCCATCCCACCTCCCTCACTCCCAGAGGCACGGGGCGCATTCATCTCCCACTTTCTCTTCAATTCCATTAAAACCAGCTTATTTTTCCCCCGCTCTGGAGCCCAGGGGCTGTTTTCCTCGTTAGGTGGAGGAAGGAGCGGGGTGGGGTGCTGGATGCTGCTGTGCCAGCTGACCTCCCCTGGCCAAACAGCAGGCCATGCCGGGGACGCTAATTAAAAACAAAATCATTACCCCGGCAGTCGGCAACGATAACGCGAAGGTGAGCGAGGTCACGGCGGGAGGAGGAAGGCTCCTCTTCCAGGGAGCAGCTTTTCCACGGCACGGCCACAAAATTGCAATTAACTCCGGGGCACAAGGGCCACTGGATCATTCATAGAATCACAGAATCTTCTAGGTTGGAAGGGACCTTAAAGATCATCTTGTCCAACCATCAACCTAACTGACAAAAATAGACACCCACACAACAAACAAGGAACATTCATGGTGATGGATGGAGTCGAATATTCACCTTTCTGCACTTAATTTGGATTTTCTCCCCGCGCGGGGCAAGAGAGGAGCATCCCAGGGCAGGGGGTTTAGTGAGGAGCAGGACGTTCAGCAGAATGAATGAATTCTGCCCAAATTCCCCACGTTACACCCACATTTGAGGGTTTGGCTAAAGGATTTGTGCCTCGGGAAAATGTACCCGTGGGGAAAAAGGGATTTCCCATCTCCACCCACCCCACACTGCTGGAAACCCTGGCGGGCTTGGTCGTGTCACTTCAGGTAAGCACAGACCCCAGGTTTTCCATAAAGTCCTTTATTATTTGCCAGGAAATTCAAGGTTTATTGCATTTTTATATATATATATTAATTTTTTTAAGGGAAGTTATGCAAAGCCGTGGAAATAATGATGCTCTGAGATGGGGAAGCCCAGAGCAGGTGGTGGTCCAAAGCACCCCTCTGCAGATCACCCCCCCGAGGGGCTGCAAAAGGTTCTTTCCAAGTGATCAATTCCCTTTATTTTTTATTTTTTTTTTCAGGGATGGAAGGACTAGTCCCGATTTTGAGTGAATTCCTGAATGGAGCTGGTGCTTGACGTCACCTCTTCCCAAATCCCAGA